TGCTTGCTTGCTAGAGATAACGTAGACCCTTGGCTGACTGAGACAAAGCCAAAGTCAGAGGTCACATCAGGATTGGAAGACCTTCAGGATATTCAGTCCCTGCTCCCATGCCTGGACAGAGGTTGTCCCTGTATATTATTAGCAGGTGAAGGCAAGTCCAGAGCCCTGGCTGCCCTTCTCCCTGTGTCTCAGAATTTTCTCTCACCTCTCCCTTTCACTTACCTTTTTTTTTTTTTTTTTTTTTGAGAGTCTCACTCTGTCACCTAGTCACCCAGGCTGGAGTGCAATGGCACGCTCTCGGCTCACTGCAACCTCCGCCTCCCGAGTTCAAGCATTTCTCCTGCCTCAGCCTCCCAAGTAGCTGGGATTACAGGTTCGTGCCACCACGCCCGGCTAATTTTTGTAGTTTTAAGTAGAGATGGGGTTTCATCTCTACCCCATCAGCCTCCCACCTCAGCCTCCCAAAGTGCTGGGATTACAGGCACGAGCCACCGCACTGGCTCCTTTCACTCCTCTTAACGCCCTTTCAGTTTGTGTATCATTGACAAGGTCCTTATAGTGCACTGCAGATGCTCTCCCGCGGTGTGAGGCATGTATCATACAAGTCCAAGTTGGCTGGTTTGCTTTCTTTCTCTCTGTGTCTCTCTTTCTGGCTTCTGTTCTCCCTCCTCCAAAATATAGATTTGGTTCAAACTAACCTAACAAGGTAGGAGTCCTAGGTAGATCCTCTCCCAGGGTCTTGGGTTGGCAAAGCAATGGATAGATGCTTCCAGCTATTAGAGGACCTGGAAGCATCTAGGAACAGAATTAGAGAGGGTACGGCCAGGGAGTATGTGAGGTTCAGCTCCATGTCTAACTAAGATGCCTACTGCTAAGGACTCAGAGTGAGAGAGGCAGCTGGGAGAGAGGAGTTGGAAAGGCCCTTGGGGTGGGGAGTTTCCATTTCTATCCAGGAGAGGCAGAAAATAAGTCTGACAGAACAGCCAAAGACTTAGGCAAAAGCAAGAGCCTAAAATGGACATACAGGCCAATAAGATTTAAGGAAAATTGTCCCACCTCTGAGGCAGGCCCTTGCCTAATCCTAGGAGTGTGACAGATCCGAATCCAGCTGTTGGGAGGTTGGCCAGTGAGAAGCCTGAGGGAGAAGACTGACTTTCAGATTTCAGCCAAGGACAGTAAAAGTTAGTGATTTTTTAGAGATTCTTACTGTGATTTTGGAAAACTGAGAACACTGCCAGTCATACTCAGGGAAAGCTATAGTTGGGAGGGCAGACTTTCAAAGCTATTGTTGAATCTTGGCTTTAAGGTACAGGTAGGGAGCAGGTCCTGGTAACCTTCCAGTCTCTATAACTGTGCCTTTCCTGCCCATGCTGTCCCCATGCTGTGTTCTCTGAGGACCAACAGTTGGGAAGAGGAGGGGAAAGCATTGCTGTGCTATTGGACCCTGCATCACATGCCCATCCTCACTGCACCCCTGGCCACTCTCTCTCTCTCTTTTTTTCTTTTTGTAGAGACAGGGTCTCGCTATGTTACCCAGGTTGGTCTTGAACTCCTGGCCTCAAGTGATCCTCCTGCCCGGCCACTCTCTGTGGTCTCAGTTTCTCAGGTATGATGGGGAGCAAGGTGATGTGTAGAAACCAAAGGCCACAAGAGGCAGTTATTACTTACACTTACAGCCCAGTCCCAGAGGACACAGATCCTGTTTTTGCCCCACCCCAGCTATGTTGGGAGGGAAAAAATCTGTCTGTATTTCCTCCTTCAACTGAAACCAATGAGCTTCCATCTGGGCCTCTTCAGTCATCACTGGGTCCTGGGAGCCAGAGTTAATATCGGGAACCTGGCTTAAATAAAAGAAAGATATCAGGGAAGGGCAGGAGTCTTTTTTTCTCATTTTCTCACTCTTCCCCCACTTCACCGTTCTAAGTCTGCGGGGGGGGGGGGGGGAGAGGGGGGGGGGTGGGGGGGGGAGGGGGGGGGGGGGGGGGTCCTGAGAGACTGGGTTCTGCTACCCTCTAGCGGCCAGAAGAAGGACTCTCCCACTCAATCAATCGGGACCTTCAAGCCTTTAGGAATAAACCAGCTGAGAAGGCCTAAAGAGAAATCATGCCTTTGAAGGTCAGGGGCACAGCTGGCACTAGAACCCAGGTCTCCTATCTCTCGGGCCAGTGCTCAGTCAACTTTCACTCCCCCACCCTCTGACTTTTGCTTCCCCTTTCTAGCCCAGCCCGAGTTAGAAACCCTGAAGCCAGCCGTGCGCGGTGGCTCAAGCCTGTAATCCCAGCACTTTGGGAGGCCGAGGCGGGTGGATCACGAGGTCAAGAGATCGAGACCATCCTGGTCAACATGGTGAAACCCCGTCTCTACTAAAACTACAAAAAATTAGCTGGGCATGGTGGCGCGTGCCTGTAATCCCAGCGACTCAGGAGGCTGAGGCAGGAGAATTGCCTGAACCCAGGAGGCGGAGGTTGCGGTGAGCCGAGATCGCGCCATTGCACTCCAGCCTGGGTAACAAGAGTGAAACTCCGTCTCAAAAAAAAAAAAAAAAAAAGAAACCCTGAAGCCAAATGATCCCTCCCAGCCCTAGTGGAGCAGCACCTGCACCTCAGATGTCATAACTGCAAATCAGTTCACAGCTGAAATCACAGAGCTTTCTTCTAAGGACCCGACTGCACTCCGCCTTTCTGAGGTTAACAATCTTGCAGGATTCTTCTTGACCTGATACAGCTCCCGTAGCCTTGGTGGTACCACCGGTACGGGTCCGGGTAGCCACCCAGGTGTCCTGTCTCCACGGTAACCGTTGCTTTGCGACCTTAGGTTTGCAGCGGTCGCGCTGCAGCCGCTGCAGTGGTTGCTGAGTGACGGCGAAGAGAAGGCGGGGGCTTGAGGTGGGAACCCCGGCTGGCGTCCAGTAGGGGGAGGTTCCCGGGGAAGACCGCGGAAGACGAGGTGCTTGGCCCGCCATGTAGGGGCGCGTTCCCCGCCGCAGACCCCACCGCCCTCCCTCTCCCCGGGCCGCATGGCGGGGGCGGTGCCCCCGGGTCGGGCCTCGGGCTGGGCCTGGAGACCGGTGGCTCGGGACGCGCTTTTGGCTCGGGCCTTCCATTCATGCACCGAACTGCGGGGACAGTTCTATCTCGTAGGTGGTCTCCTAGCAGGAGGAGCGAGAGAGCCCAGCAGCGACACGGTGGTCTTCGACCCGGCTAGGGGCCAGGCCGTACGATTGGGAGCCCAGGGAACCCCCCCGCGCAGTCACCACGACGCGGCACCCGTGGGCGGGCGTTGGCTCTGCGTGGTGGGCGGCTGGGACGGGTCGCGCCGCCTGGCAACAGTAACCGCGCTGGACACAGAGCGCGGTGTGTGGGAGGCGTGGACAGCGACCCCTGGCGACTGCCCCCCCGCCGGCCTCAGTAGTCACACCTGCACTCGCCTCTCCGACCGAGAGCTGCGGGTGGCTGGCCGGGAGGGCGGTATCCGCACTCAGCGACGCTATGGAAGCATCTATACGTTAAGGCTGGACCCCAACGCCCGCACCTATTGGTATGGCACCCCCTGCCCAAAACTTTTCACTCTTCTTTCATCTACACTCTGGAAAAAACAAAAGCCTGAAAGATTTCTCAGGCAGTTTATCCACGTCCTCACCCTAGCACCCTCCTTCCGGGGAAACCCACCATGTTTAAGCTAACTGAGCTCTCTACAATATTACCCTCCCTGTCACCCCACCTACCGCACTGCCCTGTGCCTCCTCTCCTTGGCAAGAGCGGTGGCACTTATATTTTCCAGAAAACCCACTCAGGCCTGATTTTCTGGCATGTCCACAGCTACAAGGAAGAAGGCTGCCACACAGCCTCACGCTCAGGTCACTCTGCGGCCCTGCTCCAAATTCCTGGGCCCCATCCAGGTCATCAGCTGTTGCTCTTTGGAGGCTGCAACTTAGCTGAACCAGAAGTAGCTGGGCATTGGAGTCATGGGAAAATCAAGGTATTAGCTCCTCACACATCTTGTTTAGGATGGGAAGAGGCTAAAATCGTGGTGGCCGGGTTTCTTTGGACAGTCCTTTCTTTCTCCCCAAGGAGGAACCACCTGTTGCCCCTCATTTGATGGAACAGCTTGCAAGGCTGGTGAGCAGTGGGCAGGGGTCCCAGAAGGGGCCCCAAGGACTACGGCATCACTCATGTTCTGTGGTCGGGCCCTTTGCTGTGCTGTTTGGTGGAGAAACTCTGACCAGAGCTAGAGACACCGTCTGCAATGATCTCTACATCTATGATACCCGTGAGAGCCAGACTAACGGTTGAAGGGGGAAAGGTGGGAAGATAGGGGAACCTAAAGACTGCAGAAAGAGGATGGAGTGATGGGGTAGGGAGGAGGAAAAATTAGTTGACAGGAGTTAAAGGAGTACACAGAATATTAAGCATTCAAAGAGGCCTACAAATCAACTGAGCAGAATAACAATGGGCAAGCCCTTGGTCGTGTTGAGTTCTACAAATGAGAGTGCTACTGCCTCAATAACCGTCTGCCCCTATCCAACAGGCAAGTCTCCTCCTCTGTGGTTCCACTTCCCCTGTGCAGACCGCCGGCTGAAACGCGTGGGCCATCGCACCTGCCTTTGGAATGATCAGCTTTACCTGGTTGGGGGTTTTGGTGAGGATGGCAGGACGGCCAGTCCACAGGTTTGCATCCTGGACCTCTTTATCTGAATAGTGCCAAGACATACTACTAAGCCTCGTTTTGTTTTGTTGCAAACCTATAAAGCATTATCAACAGCTATCTGCTTCACTTCAAAGCTTATTAAATTTCAATCTGACAGTCAACATTTGTCTCTGAAATTTGGGGGGGGAAGGGCAGTGAATAAGTGGACACATCTTTATTTGCAAGGAAAGGATAAAAATGGGTCCTACTCTAATATTATGAGTCATTAACCTAATGGAAGCGAAAATGACTTATTACATGCCATCCTGTGGCTCATAATGATTTCTACCCCTAAGTGGGAGAAAACTTCAGGCTACAGCTAAGCAATCTGACCAAAACATTTAATTAACAAAAAATATTACAATAGCAGAGAAAATAATAATAATAACAATAAAGAGAAATTAGAAGTGGGAGTCAGGGTAGAAAAAAATGCAAAGGCCTTGGTCCCTAGGAGACCAACACTCCAGCTGAGCTGGCCTTAGCCCCAGCCCCTTCTGAGTTTTCCTTGGCTGCTGGCTTCTCATCTTCTCCCATGAGACGAATGTTGTGCTTTTCCCGGAATTCATTTAGTTCTTTTCCCTTTGCCTGAAGCTGCTGTGTCAGTGTCTCAATGATCTTCTGTATCTAGAGGACAAGTGACAGGGATTATATAAGGAATTCAGAACTCCCTTCCCCCACCTGGAATGGACTATGGTTGGGGGAAGAATTAACACTTTTAACCTTACCTTTAATGAAGTAGAGGAGCCCAGAAACTAAAATTATTCCCTTCTTAACACAGTGGTTTAGTGGTTTATACACTTTAATGTATTTAGAATCACCAGGGCTCACAGGGCTGCTTTTT